ACACCGGTCAGGTCACCCTGGTCAAGTCACCCCGGTCAGGTCACCCTGGTCAGGTCGTCCCGGTCAGGTCGTCCTGGTCAAGTGACACCGATCAGGTCACCCTGGTCAGGTCGCCCTGGTCAGGTCGTCCTGGTCAGGTCGTCCTGGTCAGGTCATCCTGGTCAGGTCGTCCTGGTCAAGTCACACCGATCAGGTCGCCCTGGTCAGGTCGCCCTGGTCAGGTCACCCTGGTCAGGTCACCCCGGTCAGGTCGTCCTGGTCAGGTCACCAGTTTGTCGCAGACATTGAATTTAGTCTCCATGCAATTCAGTGGTAAAACTGACATCATTAATGTTATTTACAATGTAACTAGAGATATCTTAAATAGATATTTTGTCAAATCTATAGTTAGAAATATCTTAATGTTCTCATAATAAATATCTGGAATGTAAGTTCAGTGAAACCAGTGTTATGTTATAATGACCTGCTGCACCAGTGACTAACAGCCTTTTGTCACTAAGAAACTGATGAACACAGAAACAAAAACAAAACACAAACAACCCAAGATCTCGATACCATAATTTTATTTATTTATTTTTACATTTTAGTTAAGCAAATAAAACAAATTACTAAACAATCTCCTAATACAGTAATGATATAAGAGCAAAAGGATGTTGAGCCGGCCCAAGGCAAAAGCAAATTAAGCAGCTGCTCTGTCAAAGCCAGTAGTTCACTGGTCATTTAACAGCTTCTATCAGTTTGTTACATCAGTTACTGCATAAGCAGCCGACTATTAAAAAGGAGTAAAGAGTGTTACTCTTAAAAATACAAAATCAACCTTAAGCTTATTCTACAGTTGTACATAGGTTCAAAAGAAAAATAACTGATTGCTACACACATGATTTTAACAGATGTAATAATGATTATAGATATTTTGTTGTTAATCAAATCAGTTTGAACATGTTTGTTTGAAATATTCGTGTAGCTAATCTGGAAGCTGCATTAAGCTGAAACACCAACATCTGCAAATAACATAAAGGCAGTTTAGAGATTCCCATTCAAAAGTCAGTGCTGCTGAATAAATAGAAACCTTGGAAAATGTCTGATATATGTTTTTATTTCCTCTCAGCTCATAGTGGCTGACTTGTCCACAATATAACCATTTGCATATGTTACTAAAATACTTATGTATCAGACTATAAAAAGTGCAAAATATATTTTATCTGAACTTCATATAGTCTATAAAATCAGATGAAAATACTTTAATACTCTGTTTTGACTGGGAGAATAAATCACATTTCTCTGTATTTTTAATATCATTCGTCTTATTTTTCATTTTGCTTCAATAAACAGATGATCAATATTTTGTCTTCTTTGTCTTCAGTTCAACAAAACGTGATCATCAATTCTCCTTTTCATATCAGTCTTGGCTGCAAGAAAAAGGACAACAATTACTAACATGATAGACATTTTGAAATTTAACAATAATTAAGAGAGGAGCATGTTAAATGATTACTACCCATTACTTTCCATTAACTCCACCAGGGGGCGGTAGAGTTGACTAACATTTACATTTATTTTGTCTTTTGCCTTCTTTAAAACCTCCTTTACCACTAAAGTCACCAGATTAGAACCAGATTTAACATTTTTACCACATTGATTGTTTTCTTTGACTTCAACTCACAGGAGAAAAAACACACGGCCAAAATAATTACAGTGTCAAGATCTTCAAACCTTTGACTTTTCAGAGAAGATCATAATGATCTGAATCAGAATGTCTCTATCGTCAATGTGTAAACGATGAATTTCATTCAGTGCAGCTCAGTCTGGAGCAGAGGAAGTGGTGGGTCACAGGGTGTTTGTAGGAATGTGTGAGAGAGATAGAAAACTATTTCAACAATAAACTGAGCTTCCCATAATGTTTGATAACTGGGATCAATATTCACAGCTGTAATAACATAATATAGTCAAAATATATAAATAAAACTTGGTATATGCGTTATGTATTGCTCTGATTAAATGAATGTTACTTTGACTAGAATCACATCTCTTTTTATTTTGAAAAACCTTGTTCTTCCTGTTCTTCTTCTGACTCATCTCTGAGTCCACATTGCCAAATCCTCCAGCTGCTCTAATTTTATCAGATTCACTTAGAGGAGCAGAAACTAAAGACTTACTGACCAGTGGTCAAAAGAGTACAAGCCAATATTTACATCCCATTAAGAGAGTTTGATGTTTAAGAATACATTTGTTTTTATTAAAAAGATGTGATTTCTAAAAAATACTATGATTTTAGAGCAGTTTCAGTAAAACAGGGATACCCCAGGATAAAAGGAGCAGAAATAACAGCCTTTGTTAAATTCAGGCAGAAAACATTTTCACAATAATTTTCCATTGGATAGGATGGTAAAACTCACCTCGAGCCCATTTACGGTATGTGTAAACACACAAGATTAGTATGATGGTGTAGAGGATGAAGAGCAGAATGAAACTAATCACTCTGATCCAAGGAACATCGGGACCAGGAGGAGGAGGAGGAGAAGGAGAAACTTCTGCTTGGGGAACTCTAGCTGCAAGCAAAAACAATACAATAAAATAAAATATTTAATTTAATTTGTGGTACACGACAGCTATAAAACTTTCAGTCACAATACAAAAAGGAAGAACCAGAATCAGGTTCATCCAGCAAGTTATTGTCCACCAGAAGTGCTGAAGTCCAGACCTCAGGAGCTGCAGCTCTGCAGCCTTTAGATGCATCTTTACTCCAACAGACCTGAATGCAGTCAGTCTGTAATGAATCAGTCTCTGATTCAGGCTGGAGCAACAAGGCAACTTGAAGATTGTTGGGGTCTGCAGAGGTTTTAACCTTCACTGGCCTGTAAACGTCTAAGGAAACCTGCTGGATAGAAACTTTTTAAACGGTTTTCAATAATTAATTGAGCAAACCATATAGTTTGACAGCTAGGGTCGATAGGTATGTCTGCATGATTGAACTGAAATTGTGTTTTATAAAGTGCCTTGAAACGACATTAAGACAAATATAAATAAACTGAACTGAATTGAATTGAACCGATAGGTTTAATTTTTTTTATATCTGTTTATATAGGATCAGGGTAAGAAAAGCTCAGTGCCAAAAATCATTTAATGGTAAATTACAATTTTATTAAAGGACTTTGTTGGAGTGTCTTTTTGACATAAACTGAACAACATCTACTGCATTTTATCCCCTATTTTTAGAACATTATTACAGGATAATTAATGTTACTTTACTCTGTCAGAACATTTGTGTAATTTGAACAAACGTACTTATTCTAGCAAATATTTACTTAAATAAGAGAATATAGCCAGAAAAACAGGTTTCTTTAGCGTGTGCATTAGAGGCAACGCTTTGGAGATTGAGATGAACCATAGGAGAGAGGCAGGGGCCCATTTTGTTTAAAAGTTTTAACCAAAATCCACCTTTTCTTAAAGGTAACTCAGTTCTGACAGCCTGAATGAAACAAAGCAGTCGATCTTCACCTCTCACTGCCAGCCAGCTCTTCAGTGACTCTCCTTTAAAAGGATGGAGACACTTGTAGAAACCTTCCTCTGCTTCTATGATCATTTTCCCTGGTTTCTCTCTCCCAATGAAGACATCATCTCTGTAAAACTCAGCTTCAAAGTCTGACGTGGATTTGCCATATGGTTCTTTGTAGGAACAACCAAGTGTCACATTTTGTCCCTCAAAGACAGGATATGAAGGACTCTCAAGGATCACAGTTTTATCTGAAATGAAAACAATTTTATAAGAATTACATTAACTTAAAAAGGTTAAAATAACCACACTTCAAGTAAACTCAAACAAGATGCATGTCCATTACCAGTAACAGTGAGATTGACTTTGTTGCTTCGTTCTCCTTGTTCAGATTCACACCAGTATTCGCCGGTGTCTATTGGAATGAGATTCTCCATATTGCAGGATGTATTTCCAGGGAATCCCCAGCCTCTATGACATTTCTGAGGAGGCCGGTTCATAATCTGCCTCATCACTGTCCAGCCGCTGGAGTTCCTCACACAGGCAAGAACAATTTCATTGTACTGGAAGAACTGGGATCGGTTGGGAGTGACAGTCAGTGTGGCTGCAGACAGGGCCGTGCAGAGACCTTTGGAGGGGCAGGGGCTCAAAGTTAAAAAGAGGCACATTGAACAAGATCTTAAAATACCATAACAACGTAGCAACAACCCATATCAATCAAGAATCTAATATTTAATTGGATCGTACTATATCATTGTCATCATGTGGGGACAATGCAAAGCAAATGTAGTTTATTTTATCAGGTTTAATGTTTCTGTTTCTGCTGCTGGCAGACCTGGAGGGCTGAGCTGATCTGAGACTGAAGCT